CCCCCAATTCTATCTTTACTTTTATCATTGAAAACGGGGTGGGTTCTTAGTATTTAGTCTCACACTGCTCTGGTTCGTTATACTTTTCTTCACCTCCCTATGCTTTGATTGCAAAATTTTTTGAATTTTTGGAAATTGGCATTATATTATAGCTTTTCGGTGTCCGATCAAATTCAGGAAATTAGTTGATTTTGATGACACAGGTTTCTAGAATTTACACCAGCTTTGTGTGCAACACTTTACATCAGTCAAGGCTCTATTTCAGGCTCTCATTCAAAGAAGGTACATCCAGTTACATATATACTCTCGTTTTTAGAAATATATGTTATTTCTGACTGATTTCATGTTCTTTTTGTGTCATATGCAGTGAGGTTGCATTTGTTGCTAATAGGAAAAAACACATATCAACACATTGTGCTATTTGCTTGGTCTTCAGATAAGAATAATGAAGCTGAAATGATATAAACCTTTTGTGGTTTATATGTTAAAGAATCCCAACTTATGTTTATGTTTGTGACTCAATCATATATAAATAATGTATATAATATATTTAAATTAAATTTTATGCAGGCTGGAACTCTTTCTGACTTCACAGCCTCCACAATCCAAAGTTCATGTAGGGTTATTTTGGTAATTTACTGCAGGATGGGACTCTTTATGCTTGAAATTTTCAGTTCCCTGTCAGTAACCAACACCATTGTTACTGTCGCTCCACTAACAATAACCACCGCACCACCACCACGTCCACCTGCAGCTGCCATGAACACAGAAAGTAACAACTTTGATGAATTTGATCCTCATGGTTTTGTATCTGAATGTGTGGTTGCTTATGAACAACATCAGCAGCAGCATCAGCAACACCACCACCCTCGCTAGTATCAGGTAGTGGTGACATAGATTTGTTTGGGGACCCGTTCTCTTTGAATTCATAGTATTCGATAGTTGGGACCAAATGGTGCAATATTTTTTACAGAAATCAGGGTTCGTTTCCAAATAGTTGGCGTTGGTGTTTGTGCCATAACTTTTGGCATTGAAGTTGAGTTACGCATTTCCCTTAGTGTTCATAGCCTTCATTTATTTATGTATTTATTTGGCAGTGGGTGCGGCATATGGAAGATGGATCTGTTAGTTATATAGAAGGTATTCCTCCTTATGCTCTTATTTTTTTTAGAAAATATATTTTGATGGGGAAAACTATCCAGTAGGTGCAAAGCAACCAAATTATCTTGTTACTGCTAATGATGTTAATACATACCTTGCCATTGAATTCCAGCCCATGGATAACAGAAAGCGAAAGCTAATGTATTTCTCTCCTCTCTTAACCACCACTTGATTATTATTCATTCTTCATATTTTTAATTGTTGCTAAGTGAAAATGGTGCAACATCCGGATTTTCAGGGATATTATTGTATATGTTAACCTTGAGGTTGAAGAAGAGACTCGACGAGTTAAGGGTCCAACTCGCCGAGTCGAGTTGAGATTGCCGCGTGGATTTAATGAATGGACTCGACGAGTCAGAGGAGGGACTCTCCGAGTAGGTGCTGGGCGGAGAAACCCTAATTTCCTGGGTTTGGGACCTATTTAAAGACATTTATAGCCTCATTTTTGGTTACCTTTCCCTGAGAGCAAACCCTAATTGCTATTGGAGCTAGAGAGTGAAAGAGAAGCTCATATTGTGGTTCTTGGTGCATTTCTATGAAGAAGGATGAACAACTTCATGATGGGGAACAAAGGAAGGCATTGGATCTGTGGTATTGGGTGTTTCAGCTGCTAAGAGAAGGTACAAAGTCCTCATCTTGTTCATTCCTTGTACTAGATCTCACTTTGGGAGTTTTAGGGCTTTGCTTCCATCCTTTTTAATCTATGAGTTGAATGAGAGATGGTTGTGGTTGGAAACCTCAGATCTGGACCTCCTAAGGTCCTTAGAGTCTAGATGTCCCAACTTTAGTCGTTTAAATGAGGGTTGATGAGCTAAATCCTTCATGAAAGGCATGTATTAGCATTTTGGAGCAATAATCTCATGTATGAACGTAAAGATCGAAGCTTTACGTGATATTAAGCCTTAGGATGATAGATCTAGTGTTTGGGGTGATAGATCTGATTGAAATCGTCTAAATGAACATTTGGCCTGAATGAACTCGCCGAGTCAATGACATGACTCGACGAGTTGGTTAGGGTTTGTCCCAAAGAACTGAATCATGCGATAGCTCGACGAGTTGGGGGCTAAGATGACGAGCCGAGCTGGACTGTCACGAGACTTCTGAGGAAAATAAGTGGACCCGGTGAGTTGCAAGGGTGCACTCGGAGATTCGGGTCAAACATGGACTCTTGACTCGAGTTTAACTTTTGTTGACTTTGGGGATTTGGTCAACATGAGTGGTAGAGACCATGGAGGGGTAAAATTGTCTTTTACCCACTTCAAAGAGTTAAAGAGAGGAAGAATAGTTTTCGGTCATTAGAGTTGTGATTAGAGTATCACTTAGAGATATTGATTCCTTGTGTTAGGCAGATGCTAGTTCGAGATTCGGGAGCAGGTCTTTGCTTGCTGCTTGTTAGGTGAGTTTTCTCACTATACTTTACCTTAACTGGTAATTAGAGTTATATGAAAGAGTATCTTGTATGTTATGTATGTGATGTGTTGCACTGCATTATTTCTATGTGATTTATGTTGTGTGTATTCCAAAGTTTAAAGAGTTAGGACCAGAGGGTCCAAAGAATTAGGTCCAGTAGGCCCACAGAGTTATAGCCTCGAGTGGCTAATATGTATTATATGTGGTATTTTGGGGAATTCACTAAGCTTTGTGCTTACCGTGTTATGTGTTATGTGTTTCAGGTTTTTCAGGATCGCGGGACGGCACCAGCTTGATTGTACACACCAGAGAAAGAGTTATGTTTTGAGGATCCTGGATTATTAGTGGATTTTTGTTTTGTAATTTGAATAAATTTGATTTCTATACAATACGTTATGAAAAGTATACGATTTAAAATGAAAAATTTGTTGAAAAATTACGGTGTTACAAGTTGGTATCAGAGCCTTGGTTTGAGGGATTCGGATGCGCCTTTGGGTAAATCTGGACTCAAACTGAGGATTTGAGAAAAAAAATTCAAAGAAATGATTTTTCTAAAAAAACGAGCAAGAGTTTCTGAGAGAAAACGAGAATGAGAAGTGTAAAAAATCAGCTAGAGCCCGAACGGTGATTTCCCAAAATACCCATAGTTTTGTATTATGAGATATGTTATGAGGTATTATACATGCTATAAATAGGATAGGTATTTCTTATTTTAGGACTAGAGTGGCTTGATTTGTGATGGCTTAGCCTAGGAGTTGTTATCTGTGATGAGCTTTCGAGTATGTGCTGAGTAAGAGTATCCAGTAGGAATCCTTTTTCAGAGGGATTTGAGTAGAGAAGTAATCTAGGAGAGATACCTAGATGAGCATTTGTGGAACATCCTGAGAGAGTAGTTAGCTACCCGCGAGGGGTAGAGTTTCTGAGTTCGGTGATATCTTTTGAGTAAGAGTAGAGCAAGTGGAGTTATCACCTAGAGTGGGTTTTGTGTGTTTATTCGACGCCTGAATGTTGCTTGCTTTGTGCTTTGTGGAACTCCCGATGATGGGAGTCAGCTACCAAGTGAATGTGACGATATTCAGGAGGTAGATGACTGGCGCCATAAGGAGTTTCTCAGCAGCTGATGGCGGAGAAGTGTAAGAAGCTAGGAAGAGCCCAGGAAGTAACCTTAGTCAGATGAGTACGCTGACAGAGAAGAGCATTTGGCTGAGAAGCGAGCATGTGTGTCGGGATTGGTGATTGGGAAGGTTGAACATCTACTTAGGGACTCAGGGATGGTCTATGTAGAGAGTATGGGTAGATGTGGCACGTAGTATGGTCTCGTACTACTGAAAGCAGAGGGACCATACTCGATGCACGGAGTATTCCGGAGGATCTAAGTAGCAGATCGAGAGGTGATATCATTGTTCGAGTACCATGATAAGTAGCAGATCGAGAGGTGATGTCATGGTTCGAGTACCATGATAAGTAGTAGATCCAGAGGTGATATCGTGGTTCGAGTACCATGATAAGTAGCAGATCGAGAGGTGATATCATGGTTCGAGTACCATGATAAGTAGCAGATCGTGAGGTGATGTCTTGGTTCGAGTACCATGATAAGTAGAAGATCGAGAGGTGATATCATGGTTCGAGTACCATGATAAGTAGCAGATCGAGAGGTGATGTCATGGTTCGAGTACCATGATTTGTAGCAGATCGAGAGGTCATGTCATGGTTCGAGTACCATGATTTGTAGTAGATCGAGAGGTGACATCATGGTTCGAGTACCATGATTTGAGGCGGATTGAGAAGAGAGAACATGGTTCGAGTACCAGGATTCGTAGAAGAGTAAGAGGAGTTAACATGGTTCGGGAACCATGATTCATAGTGTATCAAGAGGTAGTCACATGGTTTGAGTACCAAGACACGTGGCGGTTAGTCCTTCTGGTTTTACCGGTTATTCTGTGGTGATCGTCTAGACTGAGATCAGATGTGAAAGAGCATGGGGCCAGAGGGCCATGATGAACGAGTTTTAGTGGAGCATCCCTTGAAAGGGAAACCAAGTTAACTCTGAGGGACTATTGGTGAGATGCCATTTGGATTCACAAGACTCAGGGATGAGTAAGTATGGTGCGTTATGGGAGAATACGGTATGGGCTGAGCGACCGATCGATACTGGAGATATCATTTCTATGGCCTGAGCGATGCTAGTTCCGTTTCCTATGGGAACATAAAAGGTATTGAGATTTCGGTTTCTGAGCTTGGGGGTAAAACCATGCGGGTTAGCATTGATGGGGACCTTCCATCAGAGTATTTAGGCAGTATGTCTGCTGAGAGGTAATGTTAGAGCATAAGCAGGTTGTCAGTGGGGACTTAGATGGTTAAGGACAAAGATACACCCTATTTGAGCATAGTAGGGCATGTATTGTCTGCAGCAGCAGACGATCAAGAAGAGGATATTGGGGCGGGGGCTCTTATTGTCTATAAGGAGTATCGAGTATGGTAATGAGGACTCCGCTCTTATTACAACCCATGTGATGGAACGTTGGTTGAAGAGTTGAGGATGAGGAGTATGATAGTTCATTATTTCAGATTAAGAGTTAGAGTTACTACTGGACAGTTGAGATGTCCGGTAGTGGGATGATACGAGATTCTGAATGACTAGAGGTAGTCATGATGAGAAGTTTCTGAGGATTTCATCTGAGATTCGGGTAATTGGAGTTGCTCGATCTCCTTCGGGGAGATCATTGAGCATTGCGTATCACCTTCCAAGAGTAGGTGCGAGGTTACTGGTAAAAACAGTCTGTGGGATAGATTGTTAGTGAACCAATTGGTGATGGTTTGAACACTGAGTGGGGGAGGACCGGTGTTTTAAGGAGATCAGAGACCTGTTTAAGAGCGGTTAGAGAACTGGATATAGAGACCTGCGGTACGGATTCCTGAGACGAGGGTTATTGATGGTCAAGGAAGTGCAGAGCAAGATAGTACATGTGGTACGCGTCCAGGAGACGATGAGTGCCTCCATGGATGGCGGCCGTTGGTCAGAGACCTTGTGGTGGTTAGGGATTCTTCAAGGTTGTAATGGTAAATTCGAGGTGGTTGATCGTAAGGATAGTTTCTATGGTGTAGAATTTCCAGTTCGATGTATGGGTTATTATGTTCACTTTGGGAGGGGCAACAATTGTTGGCAGTCAACTTCAGATTCAGTATGAGT